GTCTCGATAATAATCGTAGCGTCGTTATAAAAAGACGAGAGTCGTAAGGAAGTCGAATTGGATTTGTGAAAAAGCGTTGACGAACCGATTCACCGAAAAGGTGAAAGTGAGTCCCCGTTTTCGGAAATTTCGATGAATAATCGACGCTCTTTCTCAGATTTATTTATCGATTCGCTCCAGTTGTTGCATAAGTTTCGTAGCCGAGTCCACCACACCCGGAATGCAAACATAATTTCGCTTGGGAACGGTGTAGTATAAATTTTCTATGCGGGACATTGTTCCCGGCGTCGCCTTCGTTTCAAACCTGTTTCCGAACGGGCTGTTCCTGACTCCGTTTTAGGCGAGCAACAGGAGAGAGTCAACGTGGTTGCAGAAAATCGTTCGATGCCACGAAAATCGTTTCCATCTGACGATTACGTCAATGTTAAGGCCGTCCACATTTTCCTCGAGCCGCTCTCGATTTCGTTTACTCACGGCATCCGTGGCTCGCGAAACGCCTCTCACGAGATTCGCGGTATTTTTAGATCACCGAAGCAAACAGTTCCGATTATTGTTACTATTCTGTACCCACCGTGTTTCTCGTGAAAGACCATTCGATAAAAATACGACGAACGTTTTTCAACCGTCGGAGCTTTCCGTAAAAATGTGCGAGGGGAAACGGGAACGTTGAAATGTTTGAAAGACCAAAGGTTAGCTTCTGACAAATTTCACTTTTTCGTTTTGTACGAAACTCCGGCAATTTTCCCGTGTTCGAAAAAGTGAAAGCGAATCGTGGTTATTTGTTACTTTGTTTTTTTTTTATTTCCTTCGACGCACGAGTACACCGGTTTCAATCGTCGACCAAACCGAAACCAATAAAAATACCTGCTGACCAAAAGTACGGAACGGTCAATCGACCAGAATGATTCTCGGGCTTTTATTGCACGCCGTTTTATCGTCGACATCACATCGTAAGACGCAATTTTATTAACTTATTCAAGCAACAATTATTTAATCCCTCATTAAAAACGTAACTTTAATTATACCACGATCGTAACGCGAGCAAGTAGAGTTATTACTCGATAAGTTGCTACCATTAATTTGATCGAACGATACTCATCTGTCACGACGTCTTAAAAAAGAGTAAAACTACGCGTTCAGCTAACTAACGAATAATGAATTTTACAGCAGTTTGATTACCTCGTTTAAATTATGTGATCTAATGTAAAAGGCACGAGGATCACGTCTGACGCGTAATGTCATTTCGTTCGTTTCGAAGCGGGCTCGGAATTTATTCGGTACACGTGGCCTAACGTGAACGAATCTTGTTCTTATTGTTGAATTAATCTGGTATTCGACCGGAGAGGGGAGAAGGCCTCTGCAAGGTCTCGCTAGTGTCAGCCACCTTCGCGGTCTTCTTCAGGTAAAAGGAAAAGTCTCGCGAGTGCACGTGCACTCGCCGCGAGACCATTACTAGATAAAAAACATTTAATAATCGTTCTCATTTCCGTGATGCCAAGCGTCTAATGCAAAATCGATGCGTTTCATTACGACGCACGATACATTCATCACGCGGCTGGAAATGTAAATTGCCATTAGTGGTACAGAATGCTTGAAATCACGCTGGACTAGCTTCAGGGCTTCCTCGTACTTAACGATTTTTTTTCACAGACTGCAATGAGGAAAATTATAGTCAAACAAACTTATATGTAATTATCATCTTGTTTATTGATTATGGATGTGATATTAGCAGAGTGTTATTCTATTTTGCTTTTTATTAATTGCTATTTATTAATTATATATTTTGCATTGGAAGCAAACATTATTTAATGGAATAGGTGTTCAAGGCGCGAGAAGGTGTCATTGGGCAAGCGGAGCGATTTAACCCTGAAACGGCCGTCCTGGGAAAGAAGGACGGACCGGGGGCCACAGGCTTGAGAAACCACGCCACGGGACTCATCGAACCGGGTCGCTAAATGCGGCCGAAGGTGTACGTATAGACGTGAAAGCGGTCAGTCCGGCTGCTGGGTTACGTAAATCCCAGGAAGAGCGTTCGTACGACGACCGTTCGTCGTCGATACCTACGTCGATAATCAAACAGGGGGTTTTCCGCTTGCGCCTAGCTATCCCTTTTCGATAAGTCAGCCTTGTACTACTTTTTCGACAGACCCGATTGCAATCCTACCGATTTTTAATTGTAACTGGTTTGCCACTACCTAAGACCGACGAATGAAAATGCATATGAGTCTTTTGAAAAGTATGTTCTTATTTTCACTTTCAATTTTAATCTCGCCGTATGCTGATTTTTGGGATTATCAGAGAAAGCTATATTGAATTGTTAATCTCTCCTAGAAAGTCAATAAAAATGAAACGGCGAGTAATTCATTGGATTCCGATTCAATGTTTAATACTTCAGTTCACAAATTACTCTTATCGATATCTCTCAAACGTATTTCGCAATCCTATTTGTATCTCGAATTTTAGTGATCGATTTAGAACTTTAAAAAAAGATAGTAAATGACGCCTGATAAATATCCTGCCGGATAAATATGCAAATGAATTCCTTTTATACAATATGATTTATTCCTGTTGGATTTTTTTTCCCCGTTGACCTTCGTTGTGCGTTATAATTAATGTACTGCGAATGCTGTAAAAAATATTCATAAACAAAGATGAAATTATCGAGCATATCGTTAACGGTGTTGAGAAGATGAATTTCCATTTGCAAAAGGTTTCAAAAAATTGTAAATCGTTCGATATTGTTTTGTGATTTAAAAAAAATCGAATCACGTACGCGGTCAATGCATCAGCAGTTATTTCTTTGATTTTTACAATTGTTTTCAATTTCATCGAATCATCGTTGCGCAACAGTAAATTCGTTTGGCTCATCGGTACCGCAGCTCCTGTGTTCTCTAATTGATTGAAAACAGCTTAAGATCGAGGAAGAAGTCGCGAAGCGGTCTCCGCGATTTTATATATTAAATGTATTTATGTAACGTGACGGTATTCGAGCGTCACGCAACCGTGTGTGTTTCTTCTTCAATAATTATCAGTCGATCCTCGTTTTTATGCTAACGAGGCACACGGGTCGTGAATTATGCTAATTTTCCGTGTGTGGTAATCGCGTAACAGAAATGGCAGTCGTGGTGCCATCTCTTGCGGTGCCTTCAGACTGGCTTTCTTTAACGATTCCAGCTGGAAATCGGTACCCAAGGGAGCAACAAAGTGCAATTTACAATTAAAATAATTTCTGCAATGTTCAAATTAGGAATACAATGACAAAAGATCAACCGGGACTCCCATATCGTGATTCGATTAAACTACATCGAGTGATTCATCGAACTTTATCATCTCCGACCAATCCAATTCACTTCTCCAATGATCTCAATTTATTATTAAACTAGTCTGATAAATTATATTAATTTAATTCACTGCGGGAATATAAATTTAATTAAAAAGCAAAGATAAAGAGTTTAAAATGATCACACATGTAGAAAGGGGGCCGCACATGTTACTCGTCTATCAGCTGATAAATGATCAGCTGATAAATTTTCCCATGAGGCCAATAAAGGTTCCGTTTAATACAAAAGAAGAGCTCTTTACCTCCGACGTATAGAAGAACGTCAAATCGAAATTCGTACGAAGGGTGAACTGACGACCCTGTAACTTTTTCAAGAGTTCATCAGGAGAATTCTCTCCGGAGAGATCGGTGTCAGGTGGATTCGGAGTCGAACGAGGATGCGCGGTCCTTTCACTGTGTGCAACGATAAAACGAACAGAGGCCACGGCGACGAGTCTATCCGTCGTGGCTCCTCGTCGCGTCCACTTTCACGCGCGGTTGCGAATTCCGATTGTGAGTTACTCTCTTGCAAAATTTGCCTCCGCGCGCACATATGGCCGAGTTTGTCGCACCTCTCGATCTTATAACAAATTTCCAAAAAAGGAAAAACCGCTTATGTTCTGTCAAAACAAACTCGCGTTACACGATTCGCAGTTATACTTCCATTAACTGTGTTTAAGCAATCTCATTAAGTGAAAGGACATTAAATAGCCATAAACTCTTTTAGTCGATTCTAGTTGTGCAAAAAAGGAGAATAACGACGAGGAGTTTGATTGGCATAAAACCGGAATGCAGGTTACCATAAAATAGCTATATGTATTCAGATGGAATTCGTCTGTTTCATGCATCGTTCACGTTCTTGCAACAGGTTACAAAATCCTGGTCTCGCGTGCGCTTTTTACGATGATCAAATTACGATGGCAACTTCTACCGAGCTGCGCGCGTATTAAAAAAAACTCGGAACGTCCTCGGCCAGCCTGAGCCATGACAAAATTATACGTTTCCCCTATTTGCCGATCTTTTTAGAGCCTCGCCAATGAAATGGTAGAGTTCAGATTCCAGTTTTATAAAAAAAAAACTGCTTAGCAATTCATGAACCGCCCGAATTAGTATGTTTCCCGGAAACACCAAATTTTTGTATCGTCTGGCATTCCTATATACATAGAAGCTTCAGACTACAGTATAAGAAAGAAGAATAAGCTCATTCACGGATTCTATGATCTCATGATTAATAGACTTGTCGTGTTCTTAGTTGTGTGTGGGTTCTAATTTGAAAGGTAAAACCACGATTATGCATTACAAGATCGTTAAATAGACTCAATGGTTATTGATATGTAGTTGTACTTGCCAGATACAAAAGCGGTTTTACTTATTGCTGTTCTATCTTATACTGTGTTCAGACTTCGGACTTCAACTGTTGAAAATAATAATTAATGAATACGAATGCAACGGTTTATTTGGTATGTGAACACAGGATTACATACGTCTTGATAGACAGGTAGAAATTGTTATACTATTTTTGTAATGCTATACGTGCTCGCTAGGCGAATATCAAATACACTCTACATAATCGTTACGACAGTAATAATAATCGAAGAGAATCGAGTAGCCGGTTTCTCCTGTCGACGAAAGCGAAGTAAAAGTGGTCTCGAAATAAATTCGAGGCGTGTCCGATACTTACGCGGTCAGCCCGTCGCTCCAGCTGAACATCTTCTTGATCTTCTCCCTCTGTTTCGGATCGTTCTTGTTCTCCATGTTGTCCTGTTTGAATGTCCCCAAGAAGAATCCTCAAGAAATATGCTTCTAGCTTGGAATCTCAACGATAATACATTTTTTCACGCTTTGATCATCCGCTGACCTGTACACACTGTAAAATTAAAATAAAGTCGATTAGCGACGCGGTGAGAATTGATTCTGAAACTATTAGAAATTGACTCCGTGCTTCTTGGGTTTTTAAGGAAGGTGAATGATACGACACAGACTCTCGAGACGAGACGTTTATTTTAAGGATGTATTGGCTATACAGTTTATGTACCTTAGAAAAACGCATTTCCTATAATTAAAAAGAAATCAGACGTCGGAAGAACAATGCTAATAATAAATAGCTACGTGCTAAAAAGTATAGAAGGAAATATCCAATTAACTATTGACGCTGACAAAAATTTTCTTTTTCAAAATTTGGAAAATGGTTCAAATAACAGTTGTTTTCCTTCTAATTTCGATATTTAACGAGTTAAGTATGATTATTTGGCATTTTATTGATGTTGACAAAATCCGACCATTCCAGCGTCGAAACGGCGAACTTTTGGCAAAACATTTCATTTTTCCTTAATTACTCCTAAACCGTTGAATCTACGGGAAAATTGTATAGGACCTGTCTTATAG